AACTTGTGGTTCGGACATGCATTTCCTATGGATATGATTTATTTTCCTCCATAATGAGGTTCAGATAATCAATCATCTGTATCTCATCAAGGAGGAAAATAAAATACAGAAAAAAGCAATTCATATCCCTGCTTCTCTTTGAATAATTGTATTTTTACATTTCCGCAGGAAGAAGAAGCGCGGAGAAATAGTGTGATGTTTGACATGCTTTTTGTGACATCTTCTCACCCCCTCTCTGTTAGTATATACTCCCTTGACAACCGCTGTAAGCAGTTGAGAGAGAGAGAACGTATTGAGGTTAAGGAAAAAATGAACCCTGAACATAGGTTTGTATCATGTAAAATTCTTTTGTTCCCGAGCATACTAGTTATTTCTATCATGATGGTATATTCACATCTTCCTGTGTTTGCATGCAAATTCTTCAAATCTGATAACCTTTGAGATGATATCTGTGTTTACTTTAAGATTATTCTCGTAGTCATTGTAGGTTTAATTTTTATGCTTTTTTAAAGTTTTTGTTTGATGTATTTTCTCGGACACACAGAAAGCAATACAGGTTTCCCGAACTCTGGTCTCTAGGCAACTCGGTTTCTTTATGTCACCACGTGCTTAATTTCTTATGGAAATGTTTATTAAATGTCCTCTCCAAACTTTGATTATTTAACGTTCCACACTCATGTTCTTGGTAGAAGTTATAGTTTTCTGTTTCAAACATGATTCTGATTTGAATTAATTAACTGCAGTGGAGGAATGAATGGCTATCTCTCTCCATGTTCGGGAGAGCTCTGCCCTCCTATATTCAGGTCTCCTGTTGAGGGCTTGGAGGATATTATAGATAACCAAGTCATGTAAGAGTCTTGAGCTACACTATATTCAAATTCAAACTTTGAAGAAGCAAAAATACTGATCACGTTTTCATTCTTCTTCGAATTTAGATGTGCTATATATCGACTTCCAGACGCGCACAAGCATATCACTCAACCGCCAGCTGGGGTGAACTTTCCTCCAAAGGTACATTATTTGTTTATAGCTTCTACCATTGTTTAAATCCGCAGTACCTTTCTGCTTTTAAATTCACACGATGTGGTCTTGTGGCAGATTGTGAGCATGGGTGACATGAAACCTGAACCTGTATTGTGGCATGAAGATTCTGGTAGGAGGCATCATCATGACAACGGAAGATACAATGATAGTACGAGGTACTCTATGCTATAGAGAATGAAAGTCTATTCGTAAAATACGCGTTTTCATTCATAGCCAACGATTTGGAAACTATACTTCTGGTGAGAATTCATTGCGTTTTTTCAGGCCAAATCCTCCTGGGGCCATTACAGGTCGACACCTAGGAGATGCAGCACATAGACTCGTTGCCAACAGCTTGCAGGTTAGGGGGGGAGATCGAAAGGGTCACTACAATTGGCAGCAGGCACCCTCGCTCTCCCATACGGTGCAACCCTACATCCCTGGGCATCCCCCACATCCACATATGGATTATCGATCACGAGATCAGGAAGCCGATTACAGAATGCCACCTGGTGGTAGACCGAACTACTCCCAAGGTCATAACCGACCAATGAATCCCAACGCAATGCCCAGCCACCTAGATGATGCATACCATCAGCCACGCCCAGTATACCACCATGACCCGAGACCTCATTCCCAACACTACAATAGTAGATCACACAATCAAATGAATTCCCAACATTATGGTGAAAATCCTGAAGCTTATTACCCATCTACATCGACATCGTGGTCTCGTCACGGCGATGTGCCTCCCTATCCGCCTAATGGACCGACATCCCACCACCCTCCAACTTATCAAAGTGGTTACAGCTACAACCAACTCGCTGCAGATTCGGGTAGTAGTGGTCAGCAACATCATGGACGTGCGGGGCGGCCTCCTCCAGGAGGCAACAATGGCGGCGGCGGCGGCCCACAACAGCAATATGGAAATAATAGGTATTCCGCATTTGATAGAAGAGGAAACGGGAGACCACCTTCGTCAGCATCACATTCACATGGCCGCAGGCAGAAACCATACTAAAATCAGATCAATGTACGTCTAGTTTAATGCTTTTCTTTCTATTATACTCACCACAGCCACTTTTCCTATTGTGGGTGAGGAAATTGTTGTACAATATTATTAGACACTTGCATTTTTTATATTAGTTCATGTGCTCTTAACAGAATTTCGATAAAGGTATTTTCTTTTTTCTTTTTCTTTTTTCTTTTTTTAAACTAGGTTGATAAAAAAATGTACTGAAAATTTTGATTTTTTTTTTATAATACTCTATTGAGGGATGAGTATTATAAATATCTAGTAAATTACTCTACTAGTGAGGTTGAAATATATAAATACATGCAACGTGGGTTATGCAATTTACCTTATTAATGATTAGTTGACATCTAGATAATTCCTTTATCATCCTATAAGAGGGTAATATTTGTAAAACCTTTAATAGGCACACATATGGGCTCCAATGCCTTGTTCAAAGTTCAGAACTCTTATAGGATTAATGTTCACGAAGAACCTTACGGGCTTGACATGCTGCGAATCCTCTTGAAATAGGGGTGCCTTCAGAAATGCGGACACAGGTGGTGCATGGCTATCGTCAACTCGTGCCGTAAGGTGTTGGGTTAAGTCCTGCAAAGAGCTGGGTTAAGTCCTGCAATGAGCGCAACCCTCGTGTTTAGTTGTTGAATATCGAGGCAGAAATTATTCTCATTTCCATAAGGTTGCAGAGTTTTTATTCATAATTTGAATAAAATTATTCTCATCCTATTGCATTAACTAAGAGAAATGAACACGTTTAAATTTTGTCCAAACTACATAACTTACCATCCTTGAAGATCGTTGGAACCCCGCTTTACGATCTAATTCAATTTCAACTTCACAAAACTTGTGTGAAATTCAATCAAGAACAACACACTAGAAACTCAGAAAACTTACCTCTCATTCCTCCTCATTTACTGATGGGTTTAAACGATTCAAATGTCCAGACTTGATATCTTCAACATCCTAAGTAGTTGTTTTAAAGGAAATTCAGCTAAATTTGGACTCTATCTCAATGGGTTGGAGCAGTTTCTACTTTCTTCTTCTTTTCCCCTTAAAACCCCAACTTTTCTTTCTTTTTTTTTCTTTTCTTTAGTTATTTCTTTTTCTCCTCCCTCCAAATTAAAATTAAGGTTATAACATACTCCTTATTAGGAAAATGGGTCAAAATGACCATTTTGCTCCTTGATTGGAATTTTTATAAACATTTTTCTCGCATCTAAGGCTTTTGAACTCTTAAGTCTTACAAAATCTAAACTACGTTAAAAGAATATAAGATTATAGCAGCAACAACATTATATTTGTCGGCAGTGGACTAATGAGGTCGAGTTTGATCATGGGTACTAAAATGGTTTCTTCCTATTCGTTCTTATTCACTATGTCGACCAAAACCCCTTAAGAAAAGTCCTCGTAAAGGTTCATAACTCCAAGAACTGTACATTCTAAGATAGTTGCCTCGAATGCTTAAGTCTCGAGGAACTCCCAATTATATAATGTCACTTGCTTGAGAATACCGGATTGTTAGGTTCTATTGTTAGGTTCTGTAATGCGCAGGAAAATTCTCATACATAACTTCCTTCTTTACAAGAAAACCAACCAATCTTGTCATATGTTACAAGAAAAGTAAATGAGTTGTTCTCTTTAAGTAATGATTTCGAGACTTGAACAATGAGACCCCACCCTCTCATTGTCCCGAGAGGGGCTTGTTCTACTAAAGAGAATTCTCTCGGTGTCCCGCTTTGAAGATTGCGCCGACCTTGTTTACGTTCTTTTAGAAAGCACGAGTAAAAATGTTTCAAACAAAGGCAATAATGAGGAGCTCATGGCTGGTGAGGACAAGGGAGAGAAGCGAGGAACAACCACGCAAAGAACAGAGTGTCTATGAGGTATATTCGCTTCTAGCCCATACAAATAAGTATCTATACAAATTCATGTTGGGGAAATTTTGGAACTATGCCTTTTTACATCCCTATTTTTTAAATATGATTATACATTTGATTTAGTTCCTAAGTACTTTTTACTAATAAATAAATAATGCGACAAGTGTTATTTATTATGGTATGAAATATTTATCTTTTTCCTCTTAAGATTTTACCATGACTGCAATTTTAGAGAGACACGAAAGCGAAAGTCTATGACACGAAAGCGAAAGTCTATGAGATCGTTTCTAATAACCAACACTGAAAACCGTCTTTTGTATTTATTATTGCCTTCATTACTGCTCCTCCGATAGATATTGATGGTATTTGTGAACCTATTTCTAGATCTCTACTTTACTGGTGCCATTATCCCTATTGTTTCTAGATCTCGGCCATTATCTCTATTATCCCTACTTCTGCAGCTATCAAGTTGCTAAAATTACATTTTAAGCCTTTCAACATGAATTTCTATCCAACTATCCAACGTCTAATATGGTTATTCGACATATAATACCATACAAATAAACAGAAGCTTCCATCTTAAAATGAACATAAAAATAAATAAAAATAAATAAAAAACTAAGATTGCAACTAATTTTGAAAGCTGAAGTGAACATAAATAGTTTTAAACTTTCGTTTTTGTTTTTAGAATTTAACTCAAATTTAACAATTTAAAAAAAAAAAAAAAAAAAAAAAAAAAAAAAAAAAAAAAAAAAAAAAAAAAAAAAAAAAAAAAAAAACAAAATACTTCATGTTCATTAAATGAACCTAAAAAGTAGGCTGAAAGTTTTCTGTTGAGAATATATATTTTATTTAACTATTGAGAATATATATCTTATGATATATGCCAATCGAAAAAGTCCAATCAAGAAAATATTAATAAATATATTACTGTCAGAAGGGATATTTCCAGAAATTCAAAGCAAGAAATCAAGAAATTTGTTGTCAATATGTTTTAGATACATAATAACATTTTTCTTGTAGTATATAGAAGTACATTAAAGTATTGTATATATTCCCTCACAAAGTATAAAAAGAGTAATAATTGAACAAATTTATGGTAAGCTGCAATTATTTTTGTATTACAATCTTCTAGTAATGCCTAAAATTCTGAGGTATGAACATGGAAACATTCAAAACTGCCCAGTTCTTCAAACAATCAGTCGGGCAAAAAACTAACAAAGAAACGTAAAAAAAAAAAAGAAAAAAAAGAAAAAAAAAAAAAGGGTGAGTCAGAGGTCCATACACTACAATTTCAAAGGTCAGACATTCGTACAAGTTTGCCATACAGGATCCGATCATCCCTTCCAGTGTTCGACTCCAACAATGCACTGTGAACGAGTTCCTGATAGGAGAGAGGTCAAAACCATTCATCAATATCTGTATATATATTCACAATTTTATGTTACAACCAACCAACCAACCAACTACCCACCTTTACATCCCTGTGAGAAAGGAACTTCCCCATGCTGTGGATCATCATTCTCATATCTTCAACCTGATAGGTTACCACAAAACTGCTGTGAGTTCTTAATTCCCTCGCTGGGAATCAGTTAATATCAAAGAAGATTTAGATTTTTTACCCGAATATAGCCAACTAAGTTTCGATCGAAGAACCGAAAAGCCTGTTTCAGATTAACCAAAATTAGCAACGTAAATTAATTTGAATTCATAAGAATTTAGGTTGTATGGTTCGTAAAACTTACCTGCAGTAGCTCCTTGTCTACCACTGCCTCCTTGGGAGGTGAAGCCTCTTTCTTTTTCATCTCGTTGTCTGTCCCTTTTTCAACAGACTCCGTCGTTTTCTTGCTGAGGCTCTCCAGTTCGGACCCTTTGGGATCGTCAGGTTGATTTGGTGCAACATTTTCAGGCTCTTTATTTGATGCTGTCTTCCCCTCTTCGTTCAATTCAGTCTCTTCATTGGCTCCCGTTGTAGCATTCTCTTCATTGTTTTCAACCATAGCATCCACGTCGTTCTGTTATCACAAGGAAAACATAACACAGTTTCAAAATATTATCTTGTGGAATAGAAATTTATAAAAATTAATATAACACGTAACAAAAGTTAATGAAGTTCAAAGCACACTGAGGCAGTAGCTCACTAAACTTATGCATGATGCAATAACATTAACCGAGCCGAAGCACACAATACATTAGAAATCTAAAATATAGAATACGAAGAAAAAAAAAAAAAAAAAAACTTAATATTATAAAGCATAGGTCAAGGAAAAGATATTGGGGTGGAGAACAGAGAGAAGAGATGCCTCATTAGATGAATTGTGTTGAGAACTCGCGTCCTCCAGTTCCTCGCATTCTTCAGGATCTTCTTCAGGGTCTTCTTCAGGATCTTCTTCAGGATCTTCTTCAGGCTCGTAATCTGTTTCAGTTTCCATCTTCATCTCATCAACATGACCAGCTGAGTTGTTCCCCTCCACTGCAGGTGTTACGGCATCCACTTGAGATGCACCTGATGTTTCCGGATCGAGAGATTTAGGAACGTCAATAGTCTTTGACCGTTTTGGTGATGATTTTTTTTTGTCTTCCTTGTGTAATTCCTCCCGCGGCCGCTTTCGTTGATTTCTCTTTGCCACAAACTTGACACGCAATTTCTATGCCAAAATAAAAGATAAAATAAGTATATAAACCTTTAAGATCATCAGAACAATAATTTAACTGCCTCAAAGGTTCATGCAACCTGGAGGAAAGTTAAAATTCGGCTTCCCATCTGATACTGAAGCATTTCATTCAGTGATTCAGCAAATAGTGAAAGCTGTGAAGGAAAAAGAAAAAAGCAATGTAAGTAGCAAAAAACCAGTAAATACTGCTTTGAATCAGTAAGCAGAAAGCTCTAATACAGAAAGAACTTTAGGAACAGAAGGTAATGAAAATCTTCATTGCAGCAAGGAAGGTACCTCAAATGTCGATTCTTCAATGTCTTTGTCTGTATACTCCAAGAGTGAGTCAAGAGAAAGCGACAATGACCGAAACTGTATTGCATAATAAAAACAAGATATACAATTAAGATATATTATTAAAGGATGCACTATCAAACTACTCATGCAAATGGATCTGGCTAAAATCAACCTACTTTGGAATCCTTGCTCCCTTTAGTTCGTAGAATCAACCCAGGATGTCGAGGAGGTTCTTCGGACTTTCTCTTTTCTTTTACTTCTTTGTTTGGTTTGCTTTTAGACGCATCTTTACTCATTTTCTCCTTCTCCTCTTTTGATTGTTCACCATCTCTAGATTTTTCTCTCTTTCCATTACTACTATCCTTCTCACCAGCTTTTTGTTTGTCAATCGAAATGGTTGTAGGACTGAATTCCTTGCCAGCTTCATTTTCATTCATCATTTCCTCTTTCTCAGTCTTCTTCAAATTTACAGAATCATGCAGTTTCAATGTAGTAGGAGAAGATGTCGACTTTGATTTAGGAATATTTTTTTCTTGTTTATCATCTGTAGTGGGATTCTCCACATTGAGTGTTTCATCTGCTGTAACCTTCTTCTCATGCCCATCACCTTTTCTCGAAGCTTCCTCGCTAGAAACCACTGCAGGAACCTTTTTTTTAGGTACCCTCTTAATTACTTTCTTTTTCACAGTTGTTTTCACAACAGTATCTTGGGTAGCTGTTGCATTGACATCTGAATTGTCCTTAGACTTATCCACAGAGCAATCCATTTCATTCTCTTCTTTTGGAAGTACATCTTTATTTTTTTCATTCTGATCACTTTTTGCCACACGTCTAATTACTTTTTTCCTTGCAAATGTCTTAACACCAGCAGAATCATTTGAAGGTGGATCCGGAGGAATGTCAGAATTCTTCTCTCCATCAACCTTTTCATCCAGTTTGTCATTTTTCTTGTTGGCTGCATCACCAACCGCTTTGGCCTTTTGTTTAACTATCTTCTTGACAATCTTCTTTTTTCCAGATTTCACAGTGCCACTTTTCTGAGTACCACCATCAACTTCTTCTTGATCTGGTTTCTCAACATTCTGAGCTTCCTTGCCTCTTTCATCCTCATCCTTGCTTTCAAGTTTTGTGCTACTTCCATTACCCCTTCCCTCAGACGTATTCCCTTTGTCATCTTTGTCACTCTTTTCCTTTTTTTCAGACTTGCTGACACTTTTAGTATCTTTTGTTGATTCTGTTTCTTTGACTGAGAGTATAAAGAGCAAGGGGATGTTAACAATTTAGTAGTAAAATATAAAGTCAATAGTGTATTTCAAGTAGATGGTGCAACAGAAATTACCTTCCATGCCTTCCTTTGTCTCCTTGGATATCTGAGAAATTAACATAATCTTAGTGCAGAAATATATAGGAGAAATCTAAGAGCGATGCAGTATGAACTTGAGAGAACATTATGCAGAATAAATAACTTTTATTTGAAAAGGCACACAATACCAAAAATACCAAATATATAAAGGAATTTTTGGACAACACGGCTCAAAAGGAATTAAAGAATCTTCAATGACAAGGATGGTAAATTGTGCATACAAATTTCAGTAAATTATATATAAATACAGGAGATTCATAACATTGATGTGTGCTTGGCAATCTCTTCACCCTATCAAAAGTTCATCTCAATTATGTCATAACAGCTGGAATATCACCCTCATCTTTTGAAATTTCGTTCAGTACACTGCATCCTTATATTAGACACATAGAAATTTGGAACATAAACATCAAGTGAATCAAAAGTCCACCAATTATCTTAACTTCACCTCAACCACCCCATACGCCAGTATATGATCCAGTCAAAGTTGCATTGCACACACAAGGAAGCATTTAAAAATGTGTTTTTCATTAACAGGTACCAGCCACAATTTCTTCAAATAGAAATCAGAAAAATAATAATGTCTTAATGTTGATGAAAACTCTACTTAGAACAATAAAAGCACAAACCTCCTTTTTCAGTGCAATCTGGCGCTCTCTCTCAACAACAGCCTTTTTATGCGCAAGCCATTGTTCCTTCCACACATTTAATGAAGGGAGACAATCAGATAAATCTGGAACAAATAATACAGAGACTTCTTTATGGCTCAATACCCCATCCTTTCCATATCTATCATAGTGTATCTGATGAGACAAATACCCTCAAGTGTCAGCTCTTTAAATAATTAAAAAATAAACCAAGTTAGATACGCAATATACAGGTAACAGACAGTCAAGCTTAACAGTATTTAAAAATGAACCTCTAAGAAACGATTCCAGTGGTGGCAGTTTTGCAAGTCTAGTTGTGTAACATCCTTCGCATACCTGGATAAAATACGTTCACAAATAAGACAAAGCAAAGCTCTTTCTTGCATACAAACACAAGTAGCACATAACACGAACCTAAGGGCTGTTTGAACTAAAGCACCATCATCAACTGAAGGATCACCACCATCAGATGATTGCCATGGACCACCAATTGCCATGAAACTCCGGCCTTTCTTAAGAATTGCAAACCTAAGGATATTGCAAAAGTGGGCTACACGGTCGTCTGAACTTCTCTCAGATGACAACTCCTCAAGAGCATTTTTACTGATACCACTCATCAAAATAATCTGAACCAGGAGACAAGATAAATACATGAGCAGCAGGGTACTGAATTTGTTTTCTTGATTTTTGGTTCAAAATGAAAGAGATGAAAAATAAAATGATGCATCGCTATGCGATAAAAATATGTACAGATTGACAAGAGTTTATTTTCCTCCAACTATAAAGTAGTTGATGTACAATGACCAATCATTTTTTGTGAATTTTACGCATGTATCTACAATGATCTGTTAGCCTCCACTTCAACATCCTCATTCTGCATCCATAATTTAGGTGACAAACAACTAAGTAGTCAAATCTTCAATTATCTAAGCAGGGTTATCAAAATCCAGACCATAAAACACCATTCCTCCTCCATCCAGTATAACAGAACAGCAGCAAGCATATCTCTCATGAAAACATTCCTACCCTTAGGATATCTTCATTATACATATTTCAGGGATATAAATTTGCATTCTATCAATAGTAATAGTAAGAACCCCAAAAATTTCAAGGAGACAATTCAGGAAGAATCAGATCGTTCAAAAGGCATTAATTGACCGGCAGATTGAACTTCCTGAAAAACACTCTGAAAATAAGAGCACAACGAAGTTTGCAGATGCACACGAAAAGGAAGGGTTTTTTTTTTTTTTTTTTAAACGAGAAAACATGCTTTCATTGAAAACAAATAAGAGAATACAAAAAGGGCACACAGAAAACCAGCTCAAAGAACCAAAACACCCATAAGAGCAGAAAGGAATATTTTATGAAAAACAGAGTGATTGAAGTAAACATCAGATGCATGTTGCAAGCAACCTACCTTCACATTCCATACTATATTCACATGATCTGATTTCTCAAGTTCTCCAGCCTTAAGCTCATTGGAAAGCTCTTTTGAGCCAAATACGATCCCTTCATCAATAAAGTCATGCTCAAAACTGTAGCAACAAGAAGTATTAGATGGCCATTTTTCTTTACCGATACACTTTTAGAGCAACAACCAATTTGAAAACACACAATCATAAGATCCACAATTAATAAGCATGCCTCGAGGAAACAGACGCTCAAGATACAGATTGTTTCTTATCAAAAGAAGTTTAGGTTATTATGTAGCAATGGAAAATACAGAATGGTTGAATTTCTGCTTTTATCATACAACCTCTTCCTCAATGAACTGAAAAAAACTTTGCCTATGGTTTTTTTTTTTTTTCATAAAACCCATATGCTGCATAGAAGTGGCAGAACACACATTAAGAGTAAAATAAAACCAAAGCTCATCTTTGACGCAGAACAAGCATGAACACAAATACACCCAAAATGGGCAGAAATAAACTGTTCAACCCAAATGGCAATATAATATAATCTCGAACCCTCAACTGTGACAATGAAAAGAGAGGGAAACAAAAAATGTAAATAAACTCTTTTACAATGCACCTCCAAAGAAGCTACAAGAGAAGTTTCAAATACATGAGAGAAAGATGAATTACCTGACAGGAGTATGGATGGAAAGGTCAAGTTTCTCCTTTGGCCAATTCACAATAACCTAGAATAATTGAAAACATCAAGTCCTCTACCATCATCAATCAATTGATAAAATCTTCTAGAACGCATATAACATGATGTATGCACCTTTGTAAACTCTGGGGATACAAAGAGTCGAGGATATCGCTTTTCCAATGACAAATAATCCCGTTGTATGTCAACTAAACTGTGCGGGCACACCTGCAAGTGAGGACAATCGATACCCACAAAGGGAGGAAGGCATCAAATCAGAAAATCATTGGTTGCAACACACACACACACACACACAAAAAAGAAAAAGAAAAAAAAAAATCTTTCACGACATTGTCACAACCCTAACCTATTCTTACTCAACTATTATACATACAAGAAATATTAACGATGATCTGTTGTCAAATTAAAGAAAATATATTCCATATCTTTTTTAGATAAGAGTATAACTTAGATAAAAATCAACTCCCAACTATAATCTAGGAGCTCAGAAGATTGGCCACGCTGCTCCCAGAAACAATGCATGATTATATCACAATTGCAAAACGAACTATATGTTATAAGCAGCTTGTTCCAGAATTATGGGAAATCGAGAAAGGCAATGAGCGAACAGAATCTAAGTGGAACAAATGAAGAACATGAAATCACTTCATGGAAATATCACAATTGTGAGAAAAAAAAGTACCAGAGCAATTTGTTCCAGAAGAGTGGGAAAGACAAGGCAATGAACAAATGGAATCCCGGTGGAGCAAATGGAGGACTGAACAATAAAGTGAATGCAAGAGGAACTTTTGGAACATGAAGAAACTCATATTAGGTGTAAGGATATAGAGAAGGAAGGAGAAGAAACTAGGCCTTATGACTAAAAAAACCTCGTTCTTGCCAAGGAAGGTAATGAATAAATGGAATCCACGTTGAACCAACGAATAACAAAGAAGAAAACCAATGAGGAAAAAGCAAACTCTGGGAGGTGAAGATACTCTGAATCAGATGCAACGATATAAAAAAGGGAGAGAAGAACCAGGGTATAGATAATTTCAGGATTCAACACTAATTCCAGAGCCAAGAAGCAATGGAGAGAATAAGATAGAAAAAATCTGGAGCAAGCGATTTAATTCCTATAAAATCCAGTCCCTAAACTAGAACAAAAAGGAGCCAGATATTTAATGGGATGTATCTCGTCAAAATCATTGAATGACTGAGCTCCAGATCTTTTTACCTTGCAGACATATTCTCTCCTTTTTTCTTTAACGGGTGAGTGATGCCTTCAGCATTAAAGAACACCGAGTTAGTTATAACGGACCAACAAAAGATTCTGCATGCGGAACTACAGGAGGGTCAAAAAAAAAACATCAAGATCCACCTATGCAAGGCTTCATAATGTGGAGAATCTCGGTGTAACGATCTTCCCTCCTTTGCCAAAGAGGAACCACGCCTGTCTTTAGAAAGTCTTGGTGGAGTGCTTATACGCCTAGCTTCGAGCCCACGTTTGAATTCTCTGTCTCTTTCTTTCTGTCTCTCCAAGATGCGCTCTCTTTCCCGTTCTCTTTCCCGCTCTCTTTCTCGTTCTCTCTCTCTTTCTCGTTCACGTTCTCGCCGTTCTCGTTCCCGTTCTCTTTCTCGTTCTCGTTCTCGCTCGCGTTCTTTTTCTCGTGCCTTCTCCCTTTCTTTTTCTTTCTCTCTCATGCGAAAACGGTCCCTCCGACGCTCCTCCTCTCTAAGCTCAAATTCCCGAAGATAACCAGCTCTATCATCTTTGTGTTCATCAATCCTTGGATGGCTACTATGAGTCAACATACTACCTGAATAATCTGACTCGAGAGAAGTTCCATGAAGCCCTTTCCCTGCAGCATAGTCTCTACCTGGTGGCAAGCTCACTCCATAACCTGGATTTGATGAACTTTGGGAGTAGATAAGTTCATCCACATTTCTCCGTGGAGCAGCCCCTAAAATTGACGTCGAATGTTGACCACTATAAGAAGAATTGAGCACCGACACGTTGCGAGGATCAGCATCTACTCTTACTCCGTAAGAGAGAAACTCTTGAGTGGAATGAAGACTAGCAGCAGCTTTTGCTGAAAGATAATCATTTTGTCTGCCAGAAATGTCCCGCTACTTAGCGTCATTAGAAACAGACAATCATTTTATTCGTTCTATAGACTAATACCAATAAAAGCAGAAAGAAAAACCTGAAGACAATAGTTGTTATATGGTTTGACCACTGGAAAAGTCAGATAATCACAAACTTCCAGATTTCCGTAGAAAAACAAACCAACCTTGACTTAATGCAACATACAAATATCCTGACCAAAATACTATACCTTGAGCTCCCATCAAGGGCATCTGATTGCAGAGATTGAGATTTTAGTAACTGCTCTTGACGAAGCAGGGACATCTGATCAACACGGTCATACGAGTCGGCCTGTTGGAACACAATAGAGGGATTACCATCAAGAGAACACACATAAACAGAACTGCAAATCTCATTATTTTCTAAAAAGGAATACTACTAGAAGAAAAAAAGACCAAAAATATTCCTACAGAAACCATACATGACGTTGATGCCCAAAACCAACAGATTCAGAAAATCGTCCAGCTGCATCAGTTTTCAAATCCCTCCCTAAATAAGCACTCTGATGCTCACTATATTGCCGCCTTTCCAGAGTAGGATATTCAGTGACCTTTTCAGTGAACAACTGACCAGTTCTATGACCATAGCCATGGTTTGAAGATGATATATAGTCACTTGACAGATACTTGGGGGAATCAGGAATGGCTGAGGCATAGCTTCCCCGACCTTCCAGAGCAGATGGAATACCATTCCCTTTGGCACTCAGTGGAGGGCCCTATATTTAGCAAAATAGGACAACAATTTAGTATAACTGTTGGATAATAATGAAATCTCAAATATTCATTTACCATAACTTTCAACTGACAAGACGTAAGGATGGACCACAAGGCCGCATTCCAACTAATTTTTGGTCTGAATACAGAACTGGTGATATTAGTGGAAGTGGGAGATAAAGTTAAGATGACAAGGAACACTCTAATGGAAAATGTAATTTGTAATTACAATTTTCAAACATAATTATAAATGTAAAGAAAACACTATTTCACAACTCATAGATGCAACAAATTAACTACCCGAAAAAAAAAAGTTTAATGACCTAAAAGCTCATGTTAAAATGTTCCATTTACAGTGTTATAACCAAATCATCCAAAAAGGGTAATGCATTAAACCGATATTCACGCTTCTAGTAAGAGATACACAACCCAAATAAGCCAGTTTGCCACGCCTTCAGTGACACAGAAATCAAGTCAAGCTCATGAAGTAACACAAAAACAAAAGCAAACTACAATAATGAAACAAGTGATATATGGATATAATTAGCAATCTTTCTAATTGTTTTTCCCAAATTTTTACTTAATGATTTCAATATTTTTTGTATTCTTTGTCTATTTCCCTAATCTTTGGGACATTGTTTTTAACCTTGATATTAAAAGTTGATGTGGTCTTACATGACAACATGTTAAAGCATCTTACAAAAATCTTTATTAGGAAATTAAACCTGTTCTTGCATTAACCCAGATAGTGCTCTCGTGCAATTGTCTTCTTGGGGTGTGGGGGGTTTCCTCTACCCTACCACAAGGTTGTTTTCCTTTTTAGTATTCTATTATTGTATATGCGGTCCTTTATCGATAATTTATTCCTTTTGTAACTAATTCATATTCTAGTGCTTTTAAATTTTAATAAAAAAAGGACAGAAAAAACTATATACATACGGCTTGTCTTGTATGTATCTTTTGGTCTCTCTGGATTATGAACGTAAGGGTGTAACTTTCTACTTTCCACTAATAAATGAAAAGCCAATTTCATGTTTTCAAAGAAATGGAAAGTAATTTGACCTCTATGTGGAAGCCAAGATCCTTGGTGACCAGATTGTTCAAATAAACAAGGAAGTTGTTGAAACAATTGGGCCCAATGTTTACATGATCAAGCTACCAAAAATTCTCAACATATCAAGTACATTTAGTGTTCCAAATTCGAATAAATGTAAACCACAGACAGATTGGCCGGGTGGTCATTGGAGCTAGGAAAAATAACTGAGCTTTAAAAGGAATGAGATTAAACTATGATGGTCACTTACCTAGTCGTAATATCCTAAGTTTCAAACAATCAAATATTGTAGGATCCGTTGTCCTTGAGACTAGCAAGGAATACTCTTGATACTTAATTTGAGGACAAATTTGTTTCAAAAAAGGGTAAATTAATGGATTTTCAATGAGTATTTTGAATTCAGAATATCATAATCATATTTCATTTTACTGTTCATATTCATATATTGTCGGAATGCTTCTTTACATCAATTTAATGAGTTAGATTTTTTGTTAGGATTCCAACTCAAATATTTAAGGTCTATTTGATATACAATCTGAATTTGTTTTATGTTTTCAGATTATTGTTGGCATACTTTTTTCCATCAATTTAATGAGAGATTCTTTTGCTAGGAATCCAAGTGAAATATTTAGGGTCTATCTGGTAAACAATCTGAATTTTGTTTTATGTTGTCAGATTCATTGAATCCAATAAATTCAGCCAACATGTGTTTGGAAGATTTGTTTCTAAAAATTGTTTTTGAATTTTGCGATCGAAAGTGGTGGAAATTATGGAAACAACATTTTTATGTTTCGGTCTATCCAGACTTAATTTGAAAATTTTAAAATGCAAAATTACATTTAAAAAGATATTTAAAAAAAAACTTGGATAACTATAGTATTTCATGCAATAAAACCATTTAATTTTTGTTAAATTAAAAGATGTATATTATGATATATTATAAATTATGAGATGTAGTAAAATAATAATTATACAAAATCTATAACATACAACTTGTTCATAAATAAATTAATAATAGTTTAGATTCAACATAACATATATATCATTTATTATAAGAAACAAGATTGCATTAAAACAAAAGATGGAACAACTAGGGGGGTCAGGGTAGAGAGAACCCCCTCCCAACAAAAAGATACTTCTACAAGAAAGTTTTCCAACGGTTGACGAAGTAAGGTTGTAATTATAAAAGAACTTCATGTAACTAAAAGCCCATCAAGCAGCGGTAAGCTGTACATTTTTGTAAAAATAATAAATAATACATAAATTTAAAAATAAAAAAAATAAAAAGACAACTTATCTTCAAAGGTTCAACCTACTATTTAGTTAGTAACTAATAAGAAATTTAGATTAGATCCTTAATGGGGAAGATTGTTTTGAACTCATCAAGAACAAAGTTTCTCGTTAGGAAACCTCATCTAAAGTGTTTGTTGGTTATTCTCTTATTGATATTTTAATAATTGGGGGGCTTTTTCTGTTTATAGGGGCGATCTTTAGTTTTCCCTTTTCTCGTTGATCTCCAGCCTACACTATTGAAGTCTTTGAATTTTTGTACTACTTTTATCTTTTCATTGATTAATGAGTTTTGTTTCTTGTTTTGAAAAAAAATGCAAATGAATGTAGAATGCATATTTGATGAGTTGCAACCATATTCTTGGTAGTCGCCTATTTTTACCCTATGCTATGATTGTGGAGGTTGCCACATTATTAAGTTAGTCAAAAACTATCTTTTAACTAAGGTAATCATGAGATAATCAAATCTTTTACCGGATACCAATTTGCAACCAGCCTTTATAAAAAAGGTAAGGCTATTTGAAATCAAATCGATTAAATCTTAATATACTACTCTATAAGTTTCACAAGAAAGAAAAACTGGAAAAGCGTGCAAGCTCACGGAAATTGGCATTAAATCTCCACCATAACATGAACAGAACGTTCGAACAAATACCACGATGATTGTCAACCCTTTCACAATAGGAAACCCACTCCCCCATATCCTAATGAATTTAGGCTAAGAAACTCTGGCACAAAAGATGTGATGCAAAATAACATAATAGTCCAAAGGAAAGTACAATTAAATGGGCGAAAACCTAACCTGTGGTTTGCCACTCAATGCACCTGAGCTATACACAGAACCATACTGTCCTCCATAATGAGTGGTGCTCGATGAATGTGGCCTGTATGCAGCAGTATCAGCTTCCTGTGATGCTCCCAACATTGAGGAGTGCCTAGATGCCATGGAGTGTTGTTGAGAGTCGGGTCCCCCAACAGAATTCCCCGGGTAGACACTTCCCAACTACAAAAGCACCAGAAAGCGATCATAGTAAGAGAACAAGGGTAAAAGTAGTCACTAAATTTTATGAACCCACAAAAAGGAGGAATAATCATTTCCCTAATTTTATACTGCCTTACTCATAAAGATCCCTTGAAACAGCCATAAAACTATTGATTGTTGAAATAAAAGGAACAAAAAAACCCAAACGATATTCATCAATACTAGATTTTTAAAGAAGTAAATAGAATATCAAAATAATGAGTAAGGTTTTCAGCGCAAGAGAGAATTAGATATACCATATATCATACGTCTTGAATAAAATTCTAACGACGACGACTGGATACCAAAACAAATGCGAAGAGCGTATCACAACATCAAAAATCGACGAATGGTTTAGGTTCGAAAGGCACGCAGAAATTGAATATAAAATGGACCGCGTATCAAAACATAAAAAAAAAAAAATCGATAATTGTATGCCAAATAAAATGACAAGACAATGATTCAAGGTTCGAAAGACATGCAGAAATCGAATAAAAAAAATGGAGAGCATACATTTTGGCCATATCCAGTCTGCGCAGCATATGATGAGGACTGCTGTCCGTAGTTACCACTGCCTCTAGACGAGTACATATTCTGTCACGTTTAGCGATTACAGAAGAACCCTGCGCAAAAAACCCCCATGCAACTATAAACTAGAAATTCTCGTAGAAGCAAGGATTAAGCCATCATCATCGACCACAATTAACAGGTCCATGCACATGATATGAAAAATTGAAAAGTGGCATCCACATTACGAAACGAAGAAGAAGAAGAAGAGATTGAAGATGAATTGTTGCTTACCCGAGAGATTCGAAAATCGAACCCCACAAATTGAAGCCCGTCGATAAGGTTCGAAGGTTGAATAAGAAACCCTAGTACCAATCTGATTGACTGGGAAGATTAGAAGTTCGTGAACTCATACACATGTCTTATTCATTTTACGATTATAAACTAAAATAAATAAATCAATAAATTAGATTTTTTTTTTTTTTTCCACGAAAACATAAATAAATAAGTTTGGTAACTTTTTAGGGTAATTATGACCTTTGTGAAGGTTAAATTAGTAAAAATATCCCAACTTCCTATATTCTCTCGAACAAAAATCTATACTTTTAAAATTTTCATTAATATTCTTAAAACTTTTAAAATAGTTAAAAAAATTTGGATTTTTATTAGATATAGAATTTTTGGTAAGTCATATTTAATTTATATAATAAAGTTTTAATTGAAATAATAAAAATTAAAAAAAAAACTATAGATTAAATTATATAAAAATGTTTTTTTTTTCTTATGCAATTAGGTTATTTCAAAAATATATAAAATACATCTAATACATTTGTCCCCCCAATGTTCAAAAGAAATGCGAAAGGGCAAAAATGTAATTTTTAAATTATTGATATAGAAAAAATGTCCAAATTCTCTCTCTCGGGTTCTCTTCTTCTCCAAATATCACAGTCGTGCTTGTATAGGGCGTACTTCCCATGGTCGCATGCATGTAGCATTTCAGGCCTCCTTTACTTGCTTTCATGTTGTATTACTTTCTTCTTTCAGTTTATATTGTATGATCGTTCAACGAATTCATGTCTACTCCTGCAATTGATTTCACGATGTTTACTTTCAACTTATTTTCAATGATTTTTCTCGCCCATGTTTTCTAAAATATTTTCTTTCAAATTGTGGCTCGAGGCTCGATCATACATTAGAATTGTCCACGAAGTCTGATTTTTATATAGCTAACTTGTTCGCTAGGTTAGAACAAATGTTGCAAGATTGCTAGTCCACTGCCAAGAAAGTGTGATTGTGACAAGTGGTATGAAAGGTTTGTTAGCTTTTTGACCCATCGAGACCGAAACAATGTCAATGATAAAGTCGACACCTAAATCACAAGCCGATTGACTTACCTTGATGGAAGAAGAAATGATGTTCTTGAAAGAGATGCCTGACACGGTACGTTTCATAGAAATCGACTAGTGAAACTAGATAGAAAAATCAGAAGTATAGGTGCTATCAATGCTCGACTAGATGGGTTGTCGATCAAAAAATTGATATTTAGGGTCATTCCCTAGAATAAAAAGTTACCTGAATTAGTAGCTCAAAATGTGAAGGTAGCCCCAATAACTCTGTTGCACACATTGAGGATCATGTTGAAGAGCTAGACGATTTGCAGAAGACCATGGTGAAGTTGTTCAACAAATTGGCTGAAGACTTCATAACAACAATTGATACCATCAAGGGAGAGATGATCGACATAAACACTCGAGTGAGTTTGACCATGAGGGTCGTAGAAAATCACACTCCAGGGAACCGAGATGCCTTTAAAGAGAACCGAGATGCCAAAAAATTCAAAAACTTTATATTTGATGTAGAACAATATGTCAAAACCATAGGAACTTTTTTTTAGGTCCTAAAAGTTATACTCGCCACAATGCATCTTGTGGACGATGCAAAATTCTGGTGATGTTCGAAGGTGAATGATAATCAAAGTGGGTCGTGCACCATCAACTCATGGAAAACCTCAAGAAATGGTCGAAGACTTAATTCTTTCCCAAAAATGTCAAATTCATAGCAAGATGAAAACTGTGGGAACTGAGACACACCGGAAGAATAAAGGACTATGTCAAGCAACTCTTTGAGTTGATTCCGGATATTTGGGACATGATGGAGAAATATAAAGCATTATGTTTTGTCGAGGAATTGCAACCATGGACCGAGAATAGACCTTTTAAGTCTATAGGTCAAAGGAACAAAGGCTCGAGCATACGAAGGGGAAGGGGGGAAGGGAAGGGGCTGAGAGACCAAACCATGGGAATGGATAGGCCACCTCAAAATACGTATATTGACTCGTATAAAGGACCTTACCCTCCACATAAACCAACAGCCAATGCTCATACAATGTCTCTTTGTAAAGGCCGCCACAAAATCCCTCAATGCCCTCGTCAAGCTGCACTTAGTGCCCTTCAAGTTGTACTATAAGGGGGGCAACTGTAACGGATTAGAAGAAAAAAAAAAAAAAATGGTTGTCGATAGGACCGAAAATCGGAGTTTTCGTTCGCACACGACCCACAAAGAGTGCCCGACGCCGGGGTCATCACAGAAACCAAACCCGACCTTCAGCCACCTCCAAGACATCTATAGAGAAGAAAAATAGTGAGAAAACGAGAAAGACGGTAAGAAAATCCGACGAAGCTCCGGCAAATTCAAACCCTACGAAATCGACGTTGAAACCTCCGATTTACGCAACGAAAATAATCCCAGAGACTTTTACACACACCAGGGGTAGATTTAGACGATTCCTACACGTTGACCGTCGGGTAAAGGAGACAGAACGTTGGATTTCCGAACCCTCTCAGATCCGGGAATGTTAGGCCTTTATGAACCAAACAAATACAAAAAACGAAATTAGGGGGAGAAGGAGACTCGGAAACGGAGGAAAAATTAGGGAAAAAGGACGTCGGAACGATGTTACCGAGGAGAGAGAGAGAGATCGCCGGAAAATTTTGTGTAACCGGGCGAAGAAGACGAAGTTCGACCCGAGGGCCGGACTCCCGCGACCCGAACAGAGTCCAACCCACTTCAGTCCAAACCTCGACCGACGACACCCCAGCGGCCCAGTCGCCTCAGCCCAAACCAGAAAGCCCAATTATGGCCTAACCCATCAGCCGCGACCCGAGACCCGCAAGCCCAATCCAATACCCGACGCTCACAGCCCAGCCCACCTGCAGACGTTTCCTCTCAGTTCAGACCCGATCCATCACTCCCGATCAACCCAGACCTGCGACTGCAACCGAAAACCCGTGCCTCGACCTCTAGTTGTGCCACTTGGCACGTCTACAGCGTGACACCCCTCAGCTCCGGCGGTGGCTTCTCGACTCCGGCGGCTTATTCGGCTCGAAAAACCTGTTTTCAACCTGTTTGTCATCGTTCCGACCCTCCCGGACTTAGTTTCGACCCCGTTTAAGGTAAAATAGATCATTTTGAGGTCGTATTTCACAAATTCAAGTTGGAAATTAATTATGTTTATGAAATACTAACGAAGGTGTTGAATGATCCAATAGGAACCAACCACCAACGGAAGCATAGGACGTATACGAGGAGCTAGAAGCTTACGTTTATATTTTAGGGAGTACTTCGGCTAAGGCCTACCAAGTAAGTAGCTCACCCGTCGTAGGTTACGCATTGTTTGTTGTATGTTGGCACGTGCCCGTGGATTCGCACGTGTCATTAAATTGTGTGCTAGACTATTATGCTTAAGTACGTAATCTTGTGAACGTGAATGTATGCTGTTTAGTATGATGTGATATATAGTGCTTATGACGTTTAGGATGTTCCTAAATGATTATGGCATGATTGTACGAAATATTTGTATGTATACAATATGTTATGAATGACATGATATCACGATAAATGAAATGAAATGTAACATTATTAGGATTATGTATGATACATAGACTGAAAAATGAGAAATGACATGGTAAGCATGAAAGATGATAGTGGGATTATATTCATTAATGATAAAAGTAGAAATATTGGGGACCTCATCCATTATGTGTGTTCATGCATTTGGAGGATACCCCTGTTCCATCACGAGGGTTCGGACACGTACATCCAATGACAAGACAACAATCGTTATGTTTTGCATAGCGCTGCCGTGACAGTTACTAGTTCTAACGGGTGTCCGACCTAAGGAGCTCCCAGAGTATGCTCGCCCGACAAGGAAAGTGGCCCAGCGCTGTGCGAAATGGCTGGTGAGCCCATACTCGCACGTATGGGCGGTGTGTAAAGTATATGGTACACGTCCAAATTACCCGTTAGAACAGCACCGTAGGAAGACAGATTGAAAGATAGGTCCCATCATCTCATTACATGTGATTGTTGCATAACCCCGATAGGGTCACTTACTAGGTATTCTAGAAATACTCAAGCCTCGTGCTACTATATTTTTCAGATAAAGGCAAGGCTCCCATGTGAGATCGACGGCGGCATCGCACACCCCGAGACCGTGGCACATGCATAGGATAGTTATTTTCCATTTCGTAGTATAGGTTAGTATAGGTTGAATTTTGTTTGCATTCAAAGTATAAGTTAGTTTAGGTTGAATTCCCGTTTGCATCATTAGTATAGGTTAGAATAGGTTGAATTGTAATCGCATAATAAATCATTGAGTAGTATAAGACAATTGTTTCAATGTTGTTCTTTTTTTTTTCTTTCCCTTGTATTCGTTTTTCACAAGGTAACAAAAGGCCAGCGTAAGTCGCATTTATGATAAGAGCCCATTTAATGTAAATTCCACATTTCAAGGTACAGTAATACCTTAGATTAAATAGGTAAAATTTAAGGTTCTTACAGCAACGACCCTAAAATCGAACTACTAGGAGATAAGAAGAAGATCCCGACACTACAAGAATGAGTTGATGTTTGTTAATGTTATAATCTATTCTCAGTTGAGTAAGAGTATCCTAGTAGATTCCGGTGCAACTCACAACTTCATCTCTAAACATGAAGTTCACCAATGAGAACAAAAGATAGAAAATGACTTCTATGAAAGCGGTTAATTTAGAGGCCTTACATGTCGTTGGATCTCTAAGAGAATCTCCCTAGAATTAGGGGCTTGGTAATGAAAAATGGATATGGTTATAGTGCGCATGGACGACTTTGACGTGGTACTGGGAATGGATTTCCTCCTTGCACAAAAGTCACCCTAATGTCATTGGCGAAATATATCATGATCATTGATTGCAATCCTACTGTAATTCGAGCAAGAATCAAACAACTTGACAATATAAGAATGATCTCAACATTACAATTGAAGAGAGGGCTCACCCGAGAAGAGCCCACATTTATGGCTATGTGGAAGGTGAAAGAAGTAACCACCGTTGAACCTGCCCTAAATAAAGTCGGAGATGTCTTGTATAATTATGCTAACATCATGCCAAAAAAAGCTTCCAAAGACATTACCCCTTCGTAAGGACATCGACCACGAGATTGAACTTCTACTAGGGTAAAACCTCTAGCAAAGAATGCATATCGGGTGGTTCTCCCAAAGCTAATCAAACTGAGAAAACAGCGAGATGAGCGGTTGGCTGCAAGGTTCTTTGTCCCAAAAAGACACCTTGTGGGGCCAGTCTTATTCCAAAAAAACATACTTCTCAGTTAATAATCATGGACAATCTTCCTAATTAAATTCACAGCCACAAAATTTGGTCCACAATTTGGCAACTACTACTAATTCTACTGTAGTTGCTCTATAAGTCAGTAACTTACTCTACTAAGTCTACTAACAATTCACCTAATAGTTAGTAACTTGTTCCACTAGTTCAGGTATATTAGCCCACTTTGCCCGTAAAGGCACAATCAAATCTCATCGAGTTCTACTCTCCAGGCACTACCCTATTGGAACCCATCTAAGTCAAATCTTAGGTGTATGTGTAACCCTCCCACCAATTGAGCTCTATTAAGGTTAGCTAGCTACCCCTTAGTTTCTACGAGGCACCAACAAGGAAGGAGAAGCGACTCCAATCTCTAGACAACCTTGTGTGTCCCTTCGTCGATCAAGATGAGTCTATAAGTCTGATCAAGACGAGTCTATAAGTCTGAACACAAGGCGTAATAAAGATATGATTATAAATCTCTTTTCATGCTTAGGTTTTCTTTTACACAGTGTGATATCTAGTTCCTTCGAAATTTGGTGTTTCAACGATTAACTCATTCCATCATACTCTACTACCAAACAACGAATAGGCGCCACACCTAAATTCTACTTTAAATAAGGGGCCCAGTTCATAAGTTCCTCATACATGAATCATCTCGTTCAGTTCTACTGAACAAGATTGATCTAGAGAACATGACGTACCGTTCAAACATATCTAGTGCTATTCATAACTCCAAAGTTTGTTTTTATGCATCATCAACACAATCTATCATTCAATGTCTCGTAAAGAGTAAATTCTTAGACATGCAAATCTCCAGAGAAAAAAAACATATTTTCTAAGTTTCTAAGCTTTTTGATTTATGTATATTTGGTAAACTTTTAACAGTATGTCTAATATATTTTTGAATTTTGTGTTTAATACATGTTCGATCCCGACAAAAATAAAAGAAAAATTTCGTAGATAGAAATTAAAATAGAAGGGGAGACGGGGTCGGGGACGGAGATGGGGACCGGGATTAGTACCTTGTCTCAGCCCATGGATATCTCTAGATGCACATATACGAAAAATAATATTTTAGAAAAATAATGGAATAAAATAGGTAAATAAGAGAGGTGAAAACGACAGCGTTTGATACGTTAAAATCAATACCGGTGCTCCTTACCCTGCACAGAAGCTCTTGAGAGAGGTTTCTGTGCGCTCCAAGACAACGGCGCCCAGCAGAAGGCCGAGGGGGAACGAACGAACACACAGCACTCGACGGAGCATTGCACAGCTCTTAACGCTAATGGCGGTTTCTGGAGATCTCAGAGTCTCCGCAACACTCTGCTCTCACCATCCGCACCCTCTTCGGACTTCTTTTCGCTCTTCAAAGGTCCCTAACTTCTCCTCTTTTCATCTCTCTATATTTTCTTCCAATTCTTCTGTTATTTGTTCCTTCGGTTGCCTAAGCGTTGGAAATTTTGTGTAAATGTGGAATTTGGTGCCTGGAAGATATGAATTCTGAGTTTCGGTGTAAATTGTTTGTTTTGCTCATGCGGCATTTATGAATTGGAGGTTGTGTTAACGCTATCTCTGCAGTTTGGATTTTTTGCTTTACTACAATTATTTTTCAGATTAGTGAACTGTATTCGAGAATTCTAGGGTTCTATGTGAATTTGTAGCATTTTTTTTTTTTTTTTTTTGCTTCATTTTACCCGACAATCCCTTGTAGCGCGCATGGATTAGACTTAATGACCTAATTGACACAAAGGCCTTGATTCCAATGGTTCTATATCATTGCAGAATGAGTCTCTCGTAGCCCACAACAATAGGATTCTCAAAGATTAACCTCCTTGAGAACTTTATAACATAAAATGTAGTCTACTAGAGTATGTCTTGGGATAGATGAAACCTCCTTGCATGTTTTTGGTAAGAAATCTTGCAGATATAGCCAAAAACGACCTGGTTCGCATAGAAACGACCCTTTCTTCTGTTTTGTCAAGTTTAAACCTGGGGCTAGTAACAAAATTCGATTTTGGGAGGATATCTGGATCGATTTGACTTCTTTACAGCAGTTTTTTTTTTCTTTTTTCCTGTTTTTTTTTTTTTTTTTTTTTTTTTTTTTTTTTTTTTTTTTTTTTTTTTTTTTTTTTTTTTTTT